AAGACCGAGTGTGTACTTCTCATTATGACGTGGAATCAGAGCTCCAAAGTCCTTGCCAGAGATCGGTCTGCCAGAAAGAGCTAACGGTCGAATCATATGACCGAGTGTGGCAGCATCGTTACCGGGATACCAGAGATTTTTAGTGATATTGAGATTCTATGGGCACGTAACACGTCATCGTTGAGGCTATAGGTACGCAAGTGTAAGGATCCAAGAGCTAGTCATATACTATCCCGACAATATAACGGACGTCAGCCTGCGCAAGACTAGAATTGCTCTCCAGCACCTTAAAATCCGAGCTTCTGACCGCGTCTACGTGGTTTTCGAGAATCATTACGAATCGATTCGTCGACTTATATCCTTCCGAACAAGCCGGTTTCCGAAAAGGCTTTAGTACTATAAGCCACATACATACAATTCGGCAAATTGTATCGAAACCCGAAGAGTACAATCTGGCGCTTTATCTTACGTACAAATCGCGGCACGTGACGTGAACACGAAACGTGAAGAGGATAGCTGCACATGTCGTATCAGTACGCCAACGCCTCTTGATACCTTATTTTCGACTTATACGCAATAATGGTCACCGCTAGACTTTCATACCGGTACATATATGTGGGCTATGAGAAAAATTTGGGCTGTGCTACAATCTGGACTGGCGGTATATCCAAGTGCTGAAGTGTTTGTACAGTAGGGCTACGATGCTATGAAAATAACTGAAACTGATCCAGGTGTCTCGAAAATAGTGAAAGTTCTAATCATTTCTAGAACATCAGCTGCAGAGCTTAGTCTGCTTGCTAATTTAGAAATATACAGGCCTAATGAAGTTATATAAAAGTTAAACCAATGTTCTAGTTTTTATATAGCATTATTCACTTAGTCATATTGAAACGGTTACCATTTAAGGGGAAATATAATGTCAAATGGCTTAGCAAGATCCTTCGTTATGCCGAAAATATTGCAGCATTAATTTTGAAATAAATATATGGTAAAGTTGAGGATTAATGTTAGTGATTATGTTAGACGAAAACACGATTTCGTAAAATTTTCTCGATAGAAAAAAAAATCCAAAGTTACCTCCAAAATAAACAATAAACCGCTGTTATTCATAAAATACTTTAAATAAGATCATGAAACTTTGCATACTAACTGAACTAACTATAAAGCAGTGCTTATGTTATTTACTTTTTTTAAAATACCATTATTTTCACTGTAAAAAGAAATTACCTAAACTATCGGCGTCTTGAGCTTGATTCCTGTCGTTCCGTTAGTATCGCTTAGGCCTTTGAAGGGAGAAGTTGTGTCGCTTACGATCAGAATATACATTACGCAACAGTACGACGTAAAATTAAAATGGGAAATAACCGTGATAAAAATAAGAAGCGGCTGGCTTGGCTTTAAGAAACAGGCATAAATATGATAAACCTAATGAAATAAGTGTCTAACGACCTTTCTACTTACAGTATTAGTGATTACAAATATTTCGGTACATAGCATACGACGCGCGGGGAAGTGGGGGCGAAATTAGAATTTGAGCTGACTTACTCTAACCTCTTAAGTTTTAAAATCAATGAAGTACCATCAGCAAATACTTTATCATAATTAGCAACTTTACATCATTTTAATATAGACTAAGAACTAGACGTTAATAAGACGCGTATTGAGCCCTGAGGAACGGCTAGTACTACGGCCGACCCAGAACGTTGATAAATCTTGATAATAACTTTTGCGTGTTCTATTACGGAAACACAAATACAAAAATGCTGCAGCTTTCTATTTAATGGCTCATATGGTAAACACTGTCGAAGATCTTAAAGAGGTCACAAAATATACTCAAACATCTTCTTTCTCCCATGGGCTGATAATTTGTTAAAACAGAAAAAAAAACTTAACATTTGGTCCATAACAATTTTTCGAAAAAAGTCGATTGGGCAGATTACTCCGTTTATCCATCCTACGGTGGACACTTAAAAACGCGTGTTCGCTTATTCACCCCAGACCGGGTTTTCTCCTTCGGCTATGTTACAGTCATTTATTGAAACGTGATAAAAACTGGCTCAAGATACTTAATAGATATTACCTATAAAAATATATACACTACTTCTTGTTTGAAAGGTCAACGCTGAAATAAAAGGAGGTCCTTACCTTACAGATTAATTGGAATCTTGACGTAAAGTAATTTAAAATTAAGTTGAAGATAAACTTTCAATCGTAACGTTTTTTGAATACTTCCAAAAAAACATCTAGTTTTTCGCCAACACACGTGATAGCAAAGAGTTTTAAAAAATTATTTCAAATGTACATTAAAAGTGACGAATTTATTCAAGATATCAAATTGCGTCTACTCAATAATGAATTAGTGAGTGTATGTGTTGAACTGCACTTGGTGTAAAAAGTCGGAAGAACAAATAAAAGTTAATTCCGATTATACACCCTGTCTGGGGTGGATAGATCAACACGCGTTTCCGAATATTCTGAATACCCTAGAGTGGATTCTTTAAGGTGAATAAACGGAATAACCTGATTGGGCAGAATAGATAGATCTATATTTGGTAGGTATTTTGGCAAGATAAGTGTAAATTGGTTTTTTTTTAAGTTAAATCTTCGACTATATCACCACCAGTAGGTAAAATAAATAGTCAAACACAGGCCCATAACAGGAATAAGCGGCAATGTTATCAGCTTTCTGTAAATACATGGCATTCAGCAGTCGACGGCAAAAATGTAAGGAAAATCATACATACAAACTTTAATTTATCGAATATATTTAACCTTCAAGCAGTTTACATTTTATTAAAAAATGTGATGCCTAAAAATACAAAAAATACGTACAAAAATCACATTACATTAGTACTAATAATTGCTTCACAAAATCACTGACATTATAAAACGCCGACATTATTTGTAGTAAAATAATATTTGATTTCCTGGTTTCTGATCTTAATTTATTTATTATTTATTCCAAAATTAAAACAGATATTGATTTGTGCAAACACTGACAATTAATACAAAATAAATATTAATAAATACTGGTAGGGAAAACGCATTTTCCGGCAAATAATATTAAATATTATTTATTTTGTGATAACATTGAATAGAAGTATTCTATTTGAAATTGAACATTATTTTAATATAAATATAAGTATTTAAGTAATATAATTGTTTATAAAAATATTTTTACTAACATCAACAAATCCATTAGACAAGAATAAAGATAATATTATAATAGTTTATCATTTTGTTTAACATATTATAATACCTTAAATCTACAATTTATTTTATAATTTATGTATCAACTATATTGTGGTAAATGGTAATTTATGGCTTAATGTTAAACATTTTATACTGTTAACATCCTTTAATTTAGAAATATTTCAGAGCGAAATAATAAGACAGAGAACATAGAACTAAGTTATAAGAGTTTGTAAGCCTGATAAAGTAAGGAAGTGATATATAAGGGGATGAGCAACTTCGCCAAGTGTCTCATCTGCATGCAGTAAATACTGCTGATTAACAAGACTCATATCCATAGCAAATTGCTGAAGCAAAACGCCCACACCCTAGCTATGGTAAACAGCAGTAGTGCAAGAGTATCCGATGAGATTTTACATTTTTTATAGTTTACATATTAATAAGAGTAGTAGAATAAAAAAAAATAAAAAAGTAAAAGTAGAAAATGAAGTGCTCACGAGCTGATTGGAAACGTAATTTTTACGTTATATATTTTTACGTACTAAAGATTGCAATTACTCCAAACACATTTTTGCGACAGTTATTGCTTCCACGCGCTATGCCTGTCTTATTCTTTTAGTCTGAGACATATATTATGTTGAGAATTGTCTATATATTAAATTTTTCCCTTTGCCATGGAATTTGCCATGGAAAATGTAACTCCAAAAACGTGCATGCCCGTTTCATTTCATTACTTACTCTTACTACAAGTATAAAGATAAGACCCAGCTCATAGAGTACAAGATATATTTTTACAACTCTAAGAAATTTTTATGATATAAAATAATTATTCATTTACATTTCACTTGTTATAAAAACAGGTAAATGTTTAAAAATTACATGTCTAGTGTAATATAACTGTTAACGTAAAATGATCTAAAATTAATGTTAGTAACACAATGTAAAAAATTAGCTACTGATGTAAAATACAAATACAAACACACCTCGTATTTTTTGGAGTTAGTTTTTCCGACCTGGCTACACTAAGCTATTTTATGATTGGCTATATGCCTAAAATTATCTTCCATCATAATTACCATGAAACAATCTACCGATTTAAATAAAATGGAAAAAACTTCATTTACTCAATTTTTGTTTTTTTTTTTTTAATAAATAAATCATATGCCAGACCTTGAAAAAACACCCGTTAGTGGCAATCAGGTTAGTTTTAAGTTAATTTAAATAATTATTTAAGGCACTAATCATCACATAGACTGTTTAAAATGTTTAGTATTATAGTTTAAAATATAATATTGCATATTACACCAGGAACAAAAATATACCAATAATTTATATTCATTCTCATCACATATAAATTATAAAATTTTAAAGAAGTTCCATATTATACAGTAGTAATATATTTTGTACACTCAGTCTTATGATTTTCTTAAATGCTACACAATCCAAATGGAAAATTTAAACTCATATAAAATATTATAAAAAATAAATTGTATTGGAATATCAAACATAAAACAGGCAAAAAAGTATAAGTTAAAGATTTGTACCTTTGCTTTATGGCAATAATATTGATTTGTATTACGCAAGTTAATACTTAATACTAATGTGAAAACCCGAAATCTCATTAACCTTAATAATCTATAACAGTTAGCATGAGCAAAATATAAAAGAAAAAATCTCAAAATAAATATTTCAAAAAAAAAAAAAAAATAAACAATAAAAAGAGCTAACAACGAAAATCATTGAGTTCGTCCGCAGCCACTTTAATTAAAACCGTGATAAAATTAAACCTATCCATTGTAAAAGTTATATTAATGTTTGGCAGTTAAATGTACGAGTGCATAATCGTGATAATACATCATAATGGCGAGAGGCTGTCCGAGGATCAGTGAGCTCCAAACAATGATGTTGCCCCAGCGTGGCCCGAGTTTTGCCTCGGCGAAGCGAGAGATCACCGACAGGGGCGGTTGCGCCATCATTCCCAGGAACGCCCAGATTCGAAACATTTGCAGTGGCACACTTACCTGTAATATTTACAAGGTATGACATATCAAAAACATTAACAATATTTACGTCTAAAATATCAACCCTGTTTTCAAGGGAGAACCGTTAAAGTTGCAAGACGTCCCGAACTGCGATCTCCAATCCACCTCCTGCCAAATTCTCACTTTACTACATAATGTGGATGCAGTTACAACTTGACGGCTCCGTAGCGCAGTAGCTTAGCAATGAGTTATAGCGCTGTGGGCCGCGGGTTCGAATCCCGCACGGAACAAGTATTTGTATGGCCTACAAGTAATTGTTCCGGCTCTGGATGTTTTTTCTTGTACAATGTATGTATGTAAACTGCTTCCACGATACAGGAGAAAATCCTAGTGTGGGGGTAAGGTTTTTAAAAGAAAAAAGTTATGATTATTGATAGAATCAGGCGTTACTTTGCGGAAATCCATTATAATAAAAATATTAATATTTAATTCGCAATCGTCCGCTTATTTAAATTCAATGATGTGTCTTATCTGGATTGAATGGAATCTAAAGGTTTATGTGAGATATAAAAGAAGACAGAGAAAGAAAAAAAAATTTTTGAAGATATATTAGTGTTTGTTACATGTTTCCTTACGTTAAATGTTTCCTTCACTGTCCCCTTATTAGAAGATCTATAGGGTAGGCCTAAGTTCAGCAGTGCACTTTTGACGATCCGCCCGGACTTCGCACGAGTGATTTCTGGATCTCGACAATAGTGCTACCTACCGATTCGAATAAACCAATATAAGGGACCCATTCACACACACACAAAAAATTTCATCAAAATCGGTTAATTTCGAAGTCTATAACGGACATAGGTTGAAACACTTTTTATGTTTCATATAGATAGACTACAGTCCGCGACAGTGCTGTGTGCTAGTGACGTAAGACTCGCATCCCTATGGTAAATGACAGGAAAATCTCAGGGCAATATTATGCAAAATAAAAAAATACACAGACCGACGTCGGGGAACAGCCCCAAAGGTGCAAAATAACTGAAGGCTCAATCCGAATATCCGCCTGACAAGCTTATCGATTATGGTAAATCCTTCCTACAATTGGAGAGATGAGGAGTGGCTGAAGACTGATAGAAAAAAGTCCCCGACAAAGCTTTAGCACACAAAATAAACACTTTTACGCATTACGCAAACCGTGAAACGATAATTAATGTAATACCTTGTGTTGGTTTGTTATAACACTCAGAATATAGAAAGTTATATAGTTGTGTATTCTTAAACTAATATTCCAAATTCTACTTCAATCGTCGACAGTGTTGATTCGAGACTTCGCGCGCCATTTCGTAACGTACCCACCACACCTTTTATACGTGGTAGAGCCATACTGCAGTTATATTAGTAATATAGTTGTAGCTCGAATGGGTCGGCTCGAGTGGGGAAGGACCACGCTCTCACAGAATAACAGCGTAAAATAGTAGTATAATGCTGCTGTGTTTCGTATGGTGAGGTAAGAGAACCGGAAACCCTTTTTACTGAAAATGAGGCATTCCATCTTAGTCCTCACTGGTACAACGCCAAACAAGTAGATGTAGATGTCTATGGGCCGCAGAAACCACTTACCATCAGGTAGACTGTGTGCTCGTTTGTCACCCCTATTCTATAAAAAAAACACCTTCAGTATTATGAGACAAAAGTTGTGTTACCCTCAGGTCACAAGAAAGAGAGAATATCAAGAAGACGTATCGCATGACGCTTTGGTATACACAAAATAATCATATATAGCTCACAAACCCCGTGACGAAACTTCATGAACACATGGAGAACAATACCAGGAATTATCTGAGTTTAATTTTATTCAAAAACCTTATAGATTAAAAAAAGCTAATATAATAAATGGTAATTGATTACTTTATATCTAAATAACGAAATATTAATAGATCCGACCTAGGTAAAGTCGGGGCGGGTCGAGTTTATGATGAAGAAGCGTATAATTGCTTTTTTTCGTTTTAAAAATCAGTCTATTTTATTATTTTTTAGTATTACAAAAATATTTGAATTTTACTGGAAAATAACTTATTTTTCTTAACGGTTAAGACTTGAATTTTATTTAACTTTAATTTATAAATAAAACTATACAAAATATTTTGCAATAAACATTGTATATATTGTATAGTTTATTATTGAAATTAAATTTCATCGACATTTTTTAACTGAGTATTAGTTCCAATAGCAGTTGGAATTGTGTGTATTCAGTGTCAAAGGTTATAGAATATAACGTCTTCCATTTTCAGCGTGCATAGAAAAAAAAATAATTTAAAAATGGCGACCATTTTTACCAAGTTTCAAGTTCATAGCTCTCTTTAAAGTTTCAAGTCTCTAGCTCATCGGGAAGTTAGTTTAAAATAAATTGAAATATTTTCCACGACAATATTCATTTATACGACATTAATATCTTCCAAAAAAACAGACAAACAAGGCAGTTATTTTATAGTTCATTGTCATGCAGTTTTGAGATATTTTAAAAGTTTCAAGTCTCTCATCAGGTAGTTAGTTTAAAGTGAATTGAAATATTTCCTACAATATTCATTCATGTGACATTAATATCTTCCAAACAAACAAACAAACAAGGCAGTTATAGTGCATTGTCACGCAGTTTTGAGATATTTTAAAAGTTTCAAGTCTCTAGTTCATCGGGAAGTTAGTTTAAAATGAATTGAAATATTTCCTACGACAATATTCACTCACACGAAATTAATATCTTTCAAATAAACAGACAAACAAGGCAGTTATTTTATAGTGCATTGTCATGCAGTTTTTAAATATTTTCAGTTTTAAGTCGTTAGTTTAAAACAAAGTGTATAAGACGCTATGGTCAAAACTGACACTTTAAATTCTCAAAATAAATAAGTTCATTTCATATCTCGCATAAGTTGGAGGTTTATATTTTCCTGGTCCTGATCCTGGTGGTTTTCAGATTTACCCGTGTCCACCCGATAATAGGTGCCTACTGCGGCTCATCAACTGACACCTGAAGCAAGCTCCACACGACTACCAAAATGGAATGCCTCAAATCTACCTTACCTTATTCTTCAAACAGAAATACATGAGTGCACGCCCGTTTGATTAGAGGCATAAATAAGTAAGAAATATGTAGTAACCAAACCAGACATGCCCAGTCAGAAAAAAACAACATGCAGGTAGTATTTATTGAAATTTATACAAGTGAAAAATACTTTCAAAAATAATGAATGAAAAATACTTACGAGATACTCATGGAAGAACGCAGATATAAAGAACACAACAATACTAGCATTGGACTTGCCATATCCCTTTTCGGTTATAGGTATGTACACGTGTCTCACCGCCCACATATGTACGGGCCTATTCCAAGAACTCCAAAATACTGCAATGTTGTTCGCATTCCACCAGTCGTTGTAAAAGTTGCGGTCCGCAAAGTGTAGGAGTTCGCCCATTAGGTTCAAAAACGAATGAAAACTTAGATAGAAGAAACATAACCATATTAAATGGTTGGGTACCTAAAAAATAAAAATAAAATACTTTTATAAGTGACAATTCAACCTCATCAGTGTCAATGCATAGGCTGATGACACCCGGGGCCACTAGAACCAAAAATACAGCCCACTCTCTCGCCATTTCTTAAAATCAGTAAGTCTTACATAGTCTATAAATAATATTGAGAAATGAATAATACCTGGGTTAAGACCGGTTTAATAGGAAAATTTTAATTGGAAAGTTTAAAGGCGTTTTTACTTCCAATGAAAAAGTTAACTAAACTTCGAAAAAAAAAATGGAAGTCGAAATAATACTAGTTTTTACGGAATTTATCGCGTATATTGAACTTTTTAAAAACCTGACGTTTCGAACGCTTTACAGCACTCTTGACGGGCGTGGCCCGTGCAGACTCCCTCACCTATACTTATTATACTTTGGGCGAGACTGAGATGTTCAACGTCCAGATGTCATAGTTAACCGCGGTTACCATAGATTAAAATTTAACTTTTGTTCCGATCTACACAGTATAAACTTATGGTATCTTGAAGTCTTGCAGTTGTATGCTTGGGTTGGGATTTAATTTTATTTATTATAGGATCCCAAGCAGATGGTAGCACCCAGCCATCTTCTCTATCGAAATTAGGATGTTTTTTGATTTCAATAGCCTCGCGAATCATCCTTGGAAGGGATCGGTGTTCTTTAGCAAGGATTTGTGGTCTATCAAATCTGATGAAGTGACGGGGGCGATCCTGTACGTGTTCACAGACTGCAGACTTCCCGAAGCGTCGTAAAAACTAGTATTATTTCAATAAGTAGTGTTTGCATAAATATAAGAAATCATTATGGAAGTCGAAAATTAAAAACCAACTGATTTAATATAATAATTAAAATATAATATTTAAAATTAAAGAAGAACGGCAAACTACATTCATCTGTCAAGTCCTGCCGATCCACATGTGGATTTCCCGCCATAAATTTGTAGATCATATAAAGAGTATAGTAATATTTAGAGGGGAGTACATTACATTTCAGAACCACAGAGTACATTCCATTTCTCAGAACCAAACATAAGAATGCTCAGAACAATTATTTTTTAATTGTTTTATATAAGAATTATACAACTGAAATTCTAAAAACTTTATAAGAATAAGTCCCGTTACTAAATTGTGATTCTTTAAATTAAGAGAATTTACTTCAAATGACGAATTTCCGCTTTTGCCTACACGTCGCGTTTACTTCTTACTTCAGTCTATTTCATTCGCCGCGTGAGTGCAAGAGGCAACAACAAATTTAAAAAAAAATAAGTTGGTGCAAAAGAAAGTTTGTAGTTAGTTTTTTATCTAAAAGGTAAGTAATTAAAAGTAAGCACTGTTTTTGAAAGTTATTTGCTTATATTTTGTTTCGTAACAATTTTATACAATTAGTTCACATATTAAACAAGTAGTCAGAAGTAACTGAAAATGAAATATAAAGTGAGTAACCACTAAAAATCATATAAAAACACAAATTTTCATACTTGACAAAGTCCAATGTAAATATCATGGCGAAGTTGTTTACAACCAAAATGGCGTTGGTCAAAGATAGCGTAAATACTGATTTACACTTTAAGTATAATAGCGAGTTAACTTGCGAACCTGGTGAGTTAAGAAGAAAATCTCGTTTGAACGTAAATAAGCTAGTTAAGTAGCAAGTTAACAATTAGGTTGAACGGGATAGCCGGCCGGGCTATTTTTCGGCGCGTTAAGTGCGAAGTTTTGCCCTCCCGCGCGTCTCCCGTCATCAGCAACTAAACTCGCCGCTTGTGTGAACGAGCGAGTTTAGTTCAGTGCATAAACGTATAATTGTACTTTTATAATTAAACTCACCGCAAAGTTTGTACGGTACTGTTTATTGTATATTTATACGTTTTATATTGAGTTTTAATAATGAAATGGACGAAAGATATCACGTATAAATTCGTACAGGAGTATTTAGAACACGAATGTTTATATAATAGTAGAAGCTTGCTGTTTCTGCTTGAGATGCTGCACTCATGAAAATATTAAAAAACTTCTTTTACAACAACCAGTAATATTTCTCTGGCTATATCATTTAATTCTTGACGTAATCCTCGAACCATCTTAAGCAAAAACACGAAAATTCTGTAGTCTTGAAACGTCACACTCCAACGAACTCTATGAACTAATATCCTTAACAAAACTCGCCACGAAGACATTGTTTGAACGCTACTACCCACTTAACGGTTTACTGTCAACTGCCCTGTAACTAAACTCGCTACTGTACTTGTCGAAGTGTAAATCGGTCTTAACAGAGTATATACTTGATTGATTTTTTTTTAAATTTTTAGAGGCTCTTCTGAGTATATACATATAATTATATTATATATTTCTTTTCTATATCAAATTTCGAATGTTTCTATGTCCTTGTTTCTTTCTTCATAGTACTTATTTTATTTTAACATCCATGTAATAGTGGAGACGAACTGTCCACTATTAACAGACTCCGAGTGGTTTTCTTTAAGGGGGAGAAATGAAACTACTGTTTATGTTTATGAATGTACTGTCGAATGGGATTCGGAATGGAATATCTTTTGCATCAACCTTGCCTATATTTATATGGCTGGCTCACTATTGATTTGCCAATGGTAACAATTAATATTTTGCCTAGCCAATTATATTGCTTATTTTATGACCAATGAAAACTATTTAAAATATACAATTATCTACGTTTCGTTTCCCGGCGTGAGACTTGTTTGTTGTTTACGAAGCTACGTCGCTGGACCGGGCTATATAAGACATGCAGATCGGTGCGCACGCGTAGTCGGCGGGCGGCGGCGGTGTGGAATACAGCTCCGGAACAGCAAGAGGAAACAAACTGCGGCGTTGAAGAAACGGCTCACCATTGGTCGACGGATACGTGACGATAGCGGCGTGTGAAGTCGGTGTGGCGCTGAATGATATTTGCGGCTGCTTCTTGTTTCTTTATAAGAACGTCAAATTATCTATATACAGTCCGCAGTATCTCAGTAGCCAAGAATAATTAGGAAATAAAATGTTTTTTTTTATTTATTCTCGCCTTCCGCGTTATGGTAGCAGCGGAGTATATATTATTTATTCCCGTTTAGGTTTGATTAATCTGGCTGCTACATCACTCTCCCCCCAGCGAAAGCGTACCGGAGGCTTGACGACTCGCCCGTATTTCGTAGTCTTTAAAATAGGTTTCAACTGGGTTGATGTAGATGATGAAGTTTCAAGCTTCCTCGCTGGTGGTTTTGATGATGATGATGAATCCTCTGCAGTATCCTCGTTAATAATATAGGCAGGCTTTAGTCGGTCGATCGATATAATCGTAGATTTCCTTCCGGGTATTTGTAGTTTAAAAGTCTTGCTATTTCTCTCTAATACTTTATACGGTCCATCGTAGGTAGGTTGAAATTGTTTTTTCATTGCGTCGTTTCTTACAAAAACTTGTTTGCATGTTTTCAAATCTTGGTGAATGAATACTGATTTATTATTTCTGTGTGATTGCATTTCGGTGCATTTCAACGATAAGGCTTTGTTAATTGATTCTCGAAGTTTAGTTACGAAATCGTAATCCATTTCTTGTTTGTTTGACGCTGCTGAACTGAAGAAGTCACACGGCAGCCTTATGCTGCAGCCGTAGGTTAGCTGAGCGGCGCTAAGACTAGTGTCTGCACGCGGTGTTGCTCGTAGTCCGAGTAGCACTGTAGGTAGCTCATCAATCCACTTTGTATGTTGAGATAAACGAGTTTTGAGTGCAGTCTTTAATGTACGATGCCATCGTTCGATTATTCCGTTTGATTGAGGATGGTATGCTGTTGTACGCGTCTTCTGTATTCCCATAGTTTGAAGAAGTTTGAGGAATAGGTTGCTTTCGAAATTCCTTCCTTGATCCGTTGTGATGGTTTTAGGTGATCCGAAACGAGTAATCCAATTTTCATAAATTATCTTCGCGACGGATTCGGCTGAAGTATCATCGGTAGGTATTGCTTCTGGCCATCTTGTTGTTCTGTCGATCATTGTTACGAGATAACGATGTCCTTGCGGTGAAGTAGGTAATGGTCCAACGATGTCAACGTGCAAGTGTTCGAATCTCTCCGTGGGTGGAAATGTAGCTAGACTACTTGATGTATGCCTTTGTACTTTGCATTTTTGGCATTGAATGCATTGCTTCGCCCAGTTGCCAACATCCGCTTGCATTGCAGGCCAAAAGAATTTTTCAGTGATGAGTTTTCTTGTTGTTCTAACACCTGGATGACTAATGTTGTGCAGTGTATTGAAGACTTCGCGACGACATTCTTCTGGTATGTATGGTCGCATGGTTGTCGTTGAGGCTTCACAGTATATAGGTAGATGCGTCATTGGCATTGTAACTTGCTTGATGGACAAGTTACCTTGCTTCGATAGATGTTTTATGTTGTCACTATCTCTGTCTTGTGCTGCGGCGATCTTATGATAGTCGATTGATGTAGGGCACGTTACACTGTCGATTGGTACGCGACTGAGTGCGTCGGCAACTATGTTGTCCTTTCCACTGATGTGACGTATGTCGGTCGTGAATTCACTTATGTAAAATAAGTTGTCTTGCTCTTCGTGGTGTTTCCGATAGTGATGGTTTCTTTGGAAGTACATATGTTAATGGCTTGTGGTCGGTAAAAACGATCAGGTTTCGACCTTCGAACGTTTTTCTGAAGTGCTTGATAGCCATGTAAATAGCGAGTAGCTCTCGGTCGAATGTACTGTAGTTACGTTGAGTATCGGAGAACTTCTTCGAAAAATATCCAAGTGGTTGCCATTTCCCATTGCTGTATTGTTGGAGAACTGCTCCTGCTGAGAGATCGGATGCGTCGCTGAAGATAGCAAGGGTTGCTTCGTGTGATGGGTGAGCGAGTAAAGCTGCATTTTGGATCGCAATTTTACAAGCTTCAAATGCCTTCGTGGCTTCATCGTTCCATTCGATTGACGTTTTATCTTTTTTCTTCGTGTTGTGAAGGTAGGCGTGAAGTGGTGCTTGGATTTCAGCGGCTTTAGGTATGTGTTCTCTGTAAAAATTTATCATCCCAAGAAAACGCCTTAGCTCTTCGATAGTTTTAGGTTTTGCATAATCGATGATTGCTCTGACTTTTTCGGCAGGCGGTTTTATTCCTTCCTTGCTGACGGTGAAACCAAGAAATTGAACTTCTTGCTGTCCAAATATGCATTTCGAAGGGTTGATTGTGATTCCGTTGTCTTCTAATCGCTGTAGCACGGTGCGTAGATGGGTTTCGTGCGTTTCTTTATCAGGGCTTGCAACAAGGAGATCATCAATAAATGCGAAAACGAAATCCAGTCCATGAAGTACTTCGTGTATGAATCTTTGGAAAGTTTGACCTCCGTTCTTTAATCCTGGGATCATTCTTGGGAATTCGAATAATCCCATTGGGGTAATTATTGCTGTCTTCTCTATGTCTTCATCGCGGACTCTTATTTGTTGGTAAGCTCGGTTGAGATCGATGGTGGAGAATATAGTCTTGTCTGATAGTTGATGAGTGAAATCCCTGACTCGCGGTATTGGGTAGCGGTCAGGAGTGGTAATAGAATTCAGTCTTCTGTAATCTCCACAAACTCGTAATTCTCCGTTCTTCTTCGGTACAATGTGAAGTGGTGATGACCAAGGGCTTTTGCTTGGACGGCATATTCCTTGCTCAATCATGTTTTCGAATTCCTTTCGAACTTGCTCGTATAGGTGTGGTGCGATTGGACGTGCACGACAATGAAGTGGTGGTCCATTGGTGTCGATGAAATGCTCAACGTCGTTCTTCGGTGTTAATTTCATTGAAGTTATTCTTGTGATACCAGGGTATTCTTCGAGGATCTTGTGATACGGTTGTTGCACATCTATGCTTCTTATTGTGGGCAGATTGGTTGCTTGTACAAAAGACTGAGATGCAAGATTGGTTTTCCCGTCGATGATTCTTCTATTTTAGACGACCAACTGGTGATGTTGAAGAAAATCAGCACCGATGATTGGTTTGCTGACTTTAGCGACGATAAATCTCCATTTGAATGGTCGGCGTAGATTAAAATCAAGTTCCATTGTTTTTTCTCCATATGTAGGAATAACCGTATTGTTTGCTGCATAGAGTTGAAAATCTAGTGGCTTCAACTTCTGTCCTTGCTTCGGCGGTAACACTGAGATATTTGCTCCGGTGTCGATAAGGAAAGTAAGCTTGCTTTTTTTATCGGTGACGAAAAGACGGTAGGACTTTGCTGTTACGCTGGATCCCGTCGCATCGAGCGTACTAGTTAGTTTTCCGTATTCGTATTTTCATTTTTGAATGTACACGGTGCTGTGCATTTTCTTGCCTCGACCCCGAAACGTCGATGATAGTAGCAGTAAGGGGATCTTGATGTTGAGCTTATTCGACTTCTACTTGCAGAGTGGTTGCGACGAAAAGGTGATCTTCGGTGTTGCTGATTGCGCTGGTTGTACTGTTGCTGGTAAAAGGTATGATGCTGGGAAGCTTTGAGCGCGGCGACTTCGAATGATAGCTTCCGAATTTCTTCGAGAAGAAACTGGGTATCATTGGCCTTTGTTGAAGTGCCTTCGATGATCGATATGTGTGAGCTACTGCTGTTTTCGATCATCTTGTCCGCCAGGAGTGCCAGTTCGTCGAGCTTCGTCTGCGTGCTGAATGTTTCGCTGACTGCTATTACCGATCGAATATGTGATGGTAGGTGGTTTACCCACATTAGCCGTAGTGTTGAATCCGGAACTTTATCTCGCGCCAAAGTACGCATTTTGCGTAGGAGTTGTGTGGGTTTCTGGTCTCCAAGTTCTATTTCTGATAGAAGTTTTTGTAGCTGTCGACTGTCGGATTCTTCATATGCGGAGATCAGCCGATCCTTCAGTGAATTATACTGGTCGACTGCTGGTGGGTTGTACAACAGGTCCGCAATTTGTTCGATGTCTTGTTTCTCAAGTTGGGCTATCACCATCTATGCTAATTGCGCTTGGCTCTTCTTTAAACCATTCGTTGCGGCTTCAAAACTGACGAACCAAAGTCGTGGTTTGTCTCTCCAAAACGGTGGTATTCTTAACGATAGAGATATACCGGCGATTTCTGGTTCCTTTACCGGGTTTGATGTATATGTGTTTGCCTCCTGCTCCATAATGACGGCTTGATTACACTGATTTTATATAAACTGAAGTCTTCCTTCTCGGTGTTCGTACGGGTTTCCTTCGCGGTGTTCGTGCAATAGTAGTGGTACGTCGCAGGGTGTTCCTTCTTGGTGTTCGTACCGGATCTTCCCCCTCGGTGTTCGTACGGGGTCACCACTGTAATAGTGGAGACGAACTGTCCACTATTAACAGACTCCGAGTGGTTTTCTTTAAGGGGGAGAAATGAAACTACTGTTTATGTTTATGAATGTACTGTCGAATGGGATTCGGAATGGAATATCTTTTGCATCAACCTTGCCTATATTTATATGGCTGGCTCACTATTGATTTGCCAATGGTAACAATTAATATTTTGCCTAGCCAATTATATTGCTTATTTTATGACCAATGAAAACTATTTAAAATATACAATTATCTACGTTTCGTTTCCCGGCGTGAGACTTGTTTGTTGTTCACGAAGCTACGTCGCTGGACCGGGCTATATAAGACATGCAGATCGGTGCGCACGCGTAGTCGGCGGGCGGCGGCGGTGTGGAATACAGCTCCGGAACAGCAAGAGGAAACAAACTGCGGCGTTGAAGAAACGGCTCACCATTGGTCGACGGATACGTGACGATAGCGGCGTGTGAAGTCGGTGTGGCGCTGAATGATATTTGCGGCTGCTTCTTGTTTCTTTATAAGAACGTCAAATTATCTATATACAGTCCGCAGTATCTCAGTAGCCAAGAATAATTAGGAAATAAAATGTTTTTTTTTTATTTATTCTCGCCTTCCGCGTTATGGTAGCAGCGGAGTATATATTATTTATTCCCGTTTAGGTTTGATTAATCTGGCTGCTACAATCCATATATTATTTTTAGCATATTCGCTAGATTTGCCTTAGTTGTAAAAGTAACATATAATATTTGATTTTTTTTTCTTTTCAGTAAACTTTTTTGTTTTGTTTATTATTACTGTTTTAACCATTGAACTTGTTTATGGAACTTTTGTTTAATAAATTGTTTTATGTTGATGTCTGATAATTTTTTTAACATACAAAAAGATTTTATCAAATAATAAAATTACCCCCTATCTCCAATTACGTTCCGTTATTTTCTCCGTCACTGATGTACCAAACAAAAGGAACTACGCCGTATACCGTGCACTGGAACTGTACACCGACTGATCGGCTAAGTAACGTGAAATTAGTATATTTCAAAAATAATAATTAAAATAGTACTTATGACATAGCCACGTTCGTAGCTGTAAGGAAGGTATTAAAAAAATTGACAACTGTAATAAAACCCAACAACAAATCTCAAATCATATTCAAAGTCACGTTATAAGTTGTTTTAATGTTCCAAATAGTTATCCAACGTTATCAAAGTGACAGTCACAATGATTTTTCACTGCGCCTTTTTTGTAAGGCTACGGTCTCCTATTAAATGCTATACGCGACGTCCGACTTCAGCGTAAACGTTCCGATCGGCGTCTGAACGCCAGACACAGCGTCAGCGGTCAATACATATCTTACAAACGGACGACGTCTAGACTTTCGATCGAGCAACAATTAAGTAGCCGACAGTGCTCACGTGTGGTTGTGTGTTATATTTGTACATAAAATGGATATAAATTCAATACTTTTGGGGGGCACTTGTGTTACTTGAAGAAGAGGCACAAGACGATCGTATACGAAGAAAAATAAATGCAACAAGGCACCGATTATTTATGAAGAGATATGAAGAAGGATGTTTCCAGCTATTGATAATAAAACACTTAAAAGACAGCGATTCTAAATTTACTGAATATTTTCGTATTAATCAGGAACAATTTAAACATAATAATAATACAGTAACTCGTCTTTTACTTTATTAAATTTTGTCATTTTGTACTGACGCTAGACACGACCTTCACGCTGCAATGGTTCGAAATAACTAGAGACGCAGCGCACAGCGTCTTAACGCCGCCTACGACGTCCATACGCCGACATCAGCTTGTGAAAGAGACCACAACAGTACATTTCTATAGTAAGCATCGTAACGCGGCGTACGGCGTGACGCTGTAAGCGGCCGATGGCGTTTATAGGAGACCACCGCCTAAGTGGTACGACGGTCACGGTTATATAAAAATAACACTTTTCCACAAGTCTAATCGCCTCTTACGAGAACCACGGGATGATATGGATATTCATATACTTTCACTACACGGTAATCGATAACTCAAAACACTTTATCTATCGACAACGTCTTGCAATCTTCGCTTCACTGCCACTCACTTGACCTTCATACAAACAATGCGATGACATTTTAATTGTCGATACTTTTTTATTTTTGGATAAGGACATAGTAATGACTCTAATTTATATTTATCTTCATTTAAAAAAAATTGTCCTTGGCCTGACCTTATACTCTTTGGTTTGACCATAGGTGTGACTAAGTTGATCCAATACACTGTCGGGGCTTGAGTGGTTAAATAGACATATTTTAAAAGCGTCCAACAGTAGTATATTAATGGCTAATGTGGAGGCATTAATACCTTTTTTGGGCCTTTCCTCCCTATATTTGTCCCGTCACATAATGTGGAATCATAGTGAAAGACATTATCACCGCCGGGTCCAGATCAAATTAAATATTACAAATCTATAATGTTCTATTAAATACTTACAGCAAGTTTAAGCAGGCGTTCCGTAATCTTAACCACATTCATTTCCGAAAACGGATCGACGGCATTCGTAACGGACGGGATCATCCATTGTTGGAATAACGCCAAAACGAGATTAACTCCGAAAACCAGCTCTATTACTCTTTTAATAAGGAATCTCTTACGAATACTGGAAATGAAATTTAATATCTATTTAAATATACATAGTAGGCTAACTTTCATCATGTGATTATTTTATTTGACGTGTTACCTATTTTTGAATTTATAATACAATTAAAAAATTTATAGCATTTGTATAGCGTCGGACATTTTTAATAAAAAAGACATATGACACTACTACTTTCCCTTTAGAAGTTGAAATCAATGCTTGTAAAGAGCACTACGACTAAGGTAAGACAAGCGAGACGAAATAAAAAACGTAACATCCTTGACATAGGTCACCTATTCTAGAACAATCAAAATTGTGATTTTGTTTATGAACTAATCTCCAAAAATGTTTTTTCCTCCTGAAAGTTTATTTACACTTTTAATTTTGTCCCGGAAGCCTTACGGATCAGATTGGTACCTCCAAGAGCAATGCAACGTGCGCATTGTCGACATTAGAGAAACTTTTTTCTATTATTTGTAACAATATAGTCGTTAAATTAAGACATAGCTGTAAAATTTTGAGTATTTCGGATTGTGCATAAAAACAAAGCACTATAGGCAACTATTTATTACTGTTAGAAAACATTTTGTCAGTCGAACAATGCGAAACAAATTTTCTGTCAAGTGTACATTGCGAACGCATCATATAGCTGTCGCGTTGAGATGAGTAGTGAAGTAATGAAGAAATCTATTGTTTAATTTGTATTTTGCATCGCTGTCGTACCGACCAATCAAGAAGCGACCAAATTGTTGCAACACATATAAATACAGAACATTAATTTATATAATACAATACAATACTCTATACTGCATACCAAAAAAAGGAATTTAAATTATAAATAAACAAACATCTTAAAGAGAAAACAAAAAACGGTCCAATTGCTACACAGCAATTCTTCCAATCTACAAGAAAATAATTTTATGATCTTAAGACGACACATCGACAATGAACGTTTAAAATTTCTCCGGGCTATCGCCGGACTGATCCAAGTGAATACATACTTTCTATAAAAACATAAAAAAAACGCCGTCATAAGGTCCAAAATTGCGTAGCGCCCACGACGATTAAGACCGCTAAGAAATTGTCAGAATCTTAAAATATTTAAAAAATTATTGACTTAAGTAATCAAAACAATGAGCAAGTAAATTACGAATATTGATGTTATGAATATATTTGAGTGATTCCCAAGCATATGTAGGTTAAGTAATTTCGTTGTAATTTCAACTATAGTGATTTTTAGAGGTGTTTTCGTTTTAAATAATTATGATCGAATCAAAATTATACAATCGTGTTTTTGAACAAGCAAATTCAAGATAAAGACATGACTATATCAAAATTCCAGTTTGGTGTCTCGGTTCTATACTATTCATACACCAAACAGGAGACACCAAACAGGAATTTTGATATAGGTAAATTCATGTCTTTATCTTGAATTTGCTTGTTTTCAGTACCTAGTAGGCGAGGATTCCTACGTTAAAAAACTTTTAGCACTCCCTTCTCCGCTGTTGGACAGATATAGGCAATAATTGTCTAATATGAAATAAGCGTGCGGCATTCAGCGGCCAAAGTTACTAAATTTGACATGATTATGCTTATTATACAGAAATAATGGATGTAACATGGCTTTCATATCATTACAAAATATTATATGGTTATCGCTTAAAAAAGAAGAGAATTCATTTTATTTCGCTTAATATAAAGAAGTTTAAGTCTATTCTATCAAGAAATTAATTCAGCATTTCATGTATGCGCATATTTTTTTGAGCATATACTATTTCATAAAGTATCAATTCTAGAGCGTCGAGTATAAAATATGATATCTATATATGTGTAAAAAATAGAGCAGAGCAATGGAAATTTTTCTTTTGGACGGAAGAAAAAAGTTACGAGAAGAGCTGAGAAGTTAAAAACCTCATTTATGACAGGATGGACTCGAAATATTAAATAATACATTGTAGAAAGCAGAAAGAATATGAGTATTCTGACAAAGGCGGATTGGGAGCCACTTGAGCTTAGAGCGGTATTCTGAGACATGGTCATATTTACGAAGTCCGAAATTTTGGAGTTGCTTAATTGTTTATTAAAATTTTAAAAGTTGAAATCGCAATATCAGTGTAAAATGCAGTAGAGAAGTGCTGATTTAGCAAATTTTATTCTACATTAATTGGAATCGATTTCGAACTTGATTTTGCAGCGCCTCATCATCGCAATCATCGCAAGTCAACTTGTTGCATTGATTCTGTAGAAGCCTGTTTTTGTCCCGAATCATGTCATTTTTAGAATCTAACTTATACCTGGTCTGGCCTTTGCATCATTATTTTGTACTATCACTCTTTTTAAATTTAGGTTTTCGGTTAAACATGGGGCAGGAGGATGGCGCATACGAACTGGACGAATAAAACGACCGAGTCAAACAGTTGAACCTGCTCGTCAACGGTACACCAGCTTTTGTAGCAACACTACAATCCGTATTCACAGCTTCTCGTATTCAATTATTGAAATTAAACAAAGGAAACGCTGATACGCGTTACAATTAGTGACGAAACGAATACAAATGCGATAATCGTGTATCGGTGAATATCGATATTCGTTATCGTAGTATTTATTACGGTTCATTATGATACATAATTTTATAATAAATCGTGGTTTACAGCGTATTTTTAGCCAACTTCACGTATTTTTAGCCAACTTCAAAAAAGGGGGAGGTTCACAGTGTGTTTTTTTAATTTTTATTTTTTTTGGATGTATGTTACGCGATATCTTTGCCAATTAAGACCCGATTTTGAAGAATTTTTTATGAGCCCACTCACAAGCTTAAATAATAACTTTAACAAAAATTAAAAGCATACTTCAAAGAACAAAAAAGAATAAAATAATTTCACATTCTGAAGTCGGAGATTTAATTCTTATATAGACGATAGCTTAGCACCAACTTCAGTGTGAAATTATTTTATTCCTTTTAGTTCTTTAAAGTCGACTTTTAATTTTTTTCATAAACAAAATGATTAAAGAAACAGGCCTCTTTTAGAACTTATAAATTTTGTTTTTTTTTTTAATAAAAAAAATCTTCAAATCATTAATACTGAATATACTTATTACAAATAAACGAGTAAGAGAACACTTTTTTGTACTTTCATTTAAATAAAAGGAAAAATCGTAAAGAATTCGTATCGTTATTCGTAATCATACTCGTTGAAATTATATGTTTTCCGTTCGTTGCTTGAAATAACAATTACTTGGTAAAAATAGTGTGTTCTCTACTACAATAAGCTCAAGGAAAATTTTAGATATTTATTTATTTAGTAATAATCATTCTCCCGGTGCATGTTTAGGCCAAACACTGAGAGACATGATTTGGGAGCTCTAATTTGTAGATTCTATTGAATATCGATCATCAAAAAAAATGTTATCTCACGAATATCTTTGATGATAAAATACATTTTCGTTATATGCCTTTCACGTCAGGAATAAAAATCGACGTAATTCAATTATCTACCGAAAAAAGCTTCGATACAAGCCCCAATATCTCCGAAGTTCTAAATTATTTTGACGTAAAATTTATACCAAAATTATCATCGACATTTTCTTAAACTAGACTTTGATTTTCACTTTTTGAATCGTTACTATTATTTTTTAATTAATTAAGGAAAACTACCATAATATATTTCACTGCGCCGGTAATCTGAATTCACCACCGCGCGAGCGCTTGTCGAGTTTGGTCCTGTATCAGTTTATTTCGCGCGCTCTGTCTCGTTTCAATATTATCGCAGTATGCATCGATTGCCGTTATAGGTGCTGCTATTTTGGCCTGTGTTCCGAAATAGAACTAAACTACGATCGCAGCTTTTAATCGTCAGAAGTATTTACTTTCGTACAGTATATTTCAATTAGTATAAAGCTCGCACATAATTATCATACCAGATAGTTAACTCATCATAGTTATTTTGATTTTAGCTTAGCTTTCTTACTAGTCGGAATGGGGAAAAATAAATACAAGTATCAATATGTCACTAAACGTAAAAAAAGAAATATCCTATCTCCGGAGAAATAATAATGGAGGATAAAAATGTCTGCATTCTTGCCATATGGCCTAGATTATGCAGTAAAAGTACTAAAAATCTACTAAGACGACAAATTTTGGATTTTAAATATGATAATTAAGGGGTATGAAAGTGAACGCAAGTAAGACGAAGGTTATGGTTTTTGAAAGAGAAGAAAGTAAAAGGATTTGTGAAATAAGAAAAGAAGGGGAGTTGATCGAGCAAGTAGATGAGTTTGTATATTTGGGTTGCGTATTTAGCAGGGATGGGAGATATGATAAGGATATAGAACGACGAGTGAATGCGGGAAATAGAGTAAATGGGGCCCTGCACTCTATTGTGAAGAGTCAAAATGTGTCGAAAAAGGCACATATGGCAATTCACAATGCTGTGTTGGTCCCTACTTTAACGTATGGTAGTGAAAGTTGGGTGTGGCAGAAGAAGCACGAGAGTAGAATGAACGCAGTAGAAATGCGGTCGTTAAGGAGTATGTTAGGGCTGAATCTTAATGACAGGGTAAGAAATTGTGTAATAAGAGAAGAGTGTGGTTTGCAAGATGATGTTGTGACCAGGATTAAGAAATGAATGCTTCGGTGGTTTGGTAATGTGAAAAGAATGAATGAGGAAAGAGTGACAAAGAAAATTTATGTTGCAGAAGTAAATGGCAGAGTCGGAAAGGGACGTCCTAGGCGAAAATTTATCGACCAAATTGGCGATTTATTGAAAACGGGCCAAATTAGGAGTACCCTTAACCGACGAGCATGTATGCGGAGGTGTATGGATAAGAAGGAGGCGAGAGATGTGTGTCAGGATCGTGCCAAATGGAAGTCTGTAGTCTCTGCCTACCCCTCTGGGTGACAGGCGTGAGTGTTTATGTTATGTTATGTTAGGTCATCGCCCGTTCGGAGCGTAAAATACCTAAATTTGCGTAACGCCTAAATGTAAGAGGGTTCTTAATTTGTTCGTCATTCGTATCAGTATCGTATTAATCATAACGTTTCATCACTAATTATAATATTGTTACGAGCTTGAGGTTCGTGACAATAAAAATTGCCGATAGAATTACCTAAATTAACACTTTAATTTTCTTTACACAAATTAAAACTTGAAACACCAATAATTAATCACACTGATTCACTTTATTTCGCTCCGAAGCTTCGCTTGTCTCGCCAAATTCATTACTTCACCGACCGCATCTTGCAGCGCCTATAAATATAAATTAGCACCGAAATATCCAGAATATTCAAGTAAACACGCGCAAGATACCGAGAGTTCGAGTTTCAACTTCTAGAAGTTTAGTTCTTCGGTTCGAGACTAGATGGCGCTGCCGGTTGAAAGATTAGTGATGTCATTTTCTGGAAAGCTCCCATCGCTCTCGTCTCTGACATTTGATGGCGCTAGTGACGTCGACTTAGGCGCGTAACAATATTATATCGTATAATTTACATTTTAATACACAATTAATATGTACATATAGCGGACTTAATATCTCAAATTTTATTCTCTAAGAAACTTCAAAACTGGGCACTATGCATTTAATCAAGAAAGAGTTTGTATGGTACATAATTAACTTTCTTTTAAAAGTAATAAAATTAAAAATGATGTACAACCCACTTCAATATAAATAAAATGCGAGCATCATCAATGTAGTCGAAGTCAATTCAATTCAAAATTCGCATTATTAAGAATAACTAAAAAACTACTTTTCAAATCCTGATCAAATTTATATGGGACCACATGAGAAGCCTGGTGCTTTGTGGTCACATATAACTTTCAAATAAAAAAGAATCTACAAAATCAGTTTACCTAGAAAAAAGTTCTGAGATAACACACATAAAAATGAATACAATCGAATCTAAAAAAATACAATCGAATTGAGAACCTTTTTAAGTCGGTTGAATAATGTTAATAAAAGCATTATATTACAATTATATTAACACCATAGTTTTTTTTTAAAATAATCATGCAAATAGCTAAATAATATGTATAAAAATTGCTACCATAAATACCGTAAGCAAAACTAACCGTGTTGTGCGAGGAAAATTCAGTTCATAACACAGTGTGGGTGCCAATAAGAAGTAAAATAAGTCTTTGAGGTTCAAGTTATCGGGGTACCGGACAAGCCCCGCCGCTGCCATCTCATGATTCATTTCATCTTCTAAGGTCTCTGGAGACAAGCCAAGTTTTAAAGCATAGCGTGGATAAAATACTTAAACTCGAAAAATAATTATGCACAAATAAACATAAGCCTGTCGCATATTAAGCAAAATTAACATATTAAAAAGTTAGAGCATAAGAGATTTTCGCCATTACTATTTATTTAGTTAGCATTTTAAGAAAAGCTTTCATATTAAAGATGAGAAATAAAATTTACTTTAATCCTCAGCTTCAATATTATTATTTCCTTTGATATTATTATCTACATATTATAATATTTCTATGAAACTAAGTTAATAAATGTTCAAAACGTAAAGCATACTAAATGCTAAAGCTAGTATAGAAGGCAACGCACAACCAAATCTTGTAAAAAGCATGAAGAAATATATATACCTCACATTATAAAACAAAAGGCAGACGGAGGACATTTGTAAACGCGAGTACGGCCAGCAAAGCAAATACATATTCAAAAGCAAATACAAACAGTAACGAAACAAAGCGTCAAAACGTTATACGCGTTTAAATACGTGACAAATTTGTAAGTCATCTTGTCTATTTAATAATTTTAAAAATTCGTTCCTATAATGGAGCGAATATCCTTTCGACTACTAGGAACACAAAACCATAACAAGAGAAGGTTAGAGTTGCCAGTTTACACTAAATTATTTTTGCCTGAAATAGAGGTATATGCAATATGCATACAACGTTGAAAGACAGATTTATTTACAACGCGACTGCTTTGAAATTTAAGGAAATGTAATGCAAAAATATATTTTATTGTAAGTTATAAAATTCATCTAACAATATAAAAATGTATAGTTGCAAGTGTATAACAGATACTTATTAAATCGAGGAGTGTAATAGTATACATTTATTAACACTAAAATCATAAAGAAGTGCGAGTTTGTATGTTTTTTTAACAAGAAGGGCCCAACGAACATGCGTCACGTTAATACAAGAACCTTTTTAATATATTATGATTAATGCAAACTCTATTTTCAGGCCGGCGCTATGTTATTAAATATCAGCCTTCGTTTTTCCTTTTTTATGAATACATTAATTTGTAATCAGATTACATTTTAAGTTTAACCTCCGTCTAGTTACTACTTCTTCTTTTTTGGTTCGATGACTATTATTTTTAGAAAACTGTAATGACAAAAGAACTAACAGTCCACCTCAGGTAAGTGGCTACTGTAGTCCATGGACACCCGCAACCAGCTTCATACAAAGAAGGCTACAGAAGGGCTGTCACCTCTGAGGACTCGGATGGAATGCGGCATAGCCTGTAATTATACTGGCCCTCTATATCTTTCAGACCGGATTTAGTGGCGGAAATAGCTAAGAAGTTGGAACCTACCCCCAGACGAACACCTTGGCAAAATAGGATATATTTCATATGATCATATTCATATCTCCGGGACAAAAACCGGCGACGAGGTTCGCCACCCGTCACGTTCTGTCTCCCGGAGGGGCGAAAAGTGGATTGCGGAAACCCGTCTGGCTACGCTGAATGTATGTGGAGGAATGAATGATAAGATGGATGAAGTATGCGAAATGATGAATGACAGAGGAATAGATGTGTTATGTGTGAATGAGACGAAACGAAAGGGAAAGGATGCCACTGCACATGGCACGTATACCGCGTATTGGTCTGGTGTAGGCGAGACCGAACGGGCATGCCAGGGAGTCGGTTTCATCCTTTCAGAAAGAATGGACCAATGTGTGAAAGAGTATGAATGTGTAAGCCCAAGACTGCTATGGATACGAATGAAAGTGGGCTTAAAGAAACTGTTCCTGCTAGGGGTGTACGCCCCAGACATGTCTAAGCCCACTTACATCCGAGAGCAGTTTTGGGACATGGTAAGGATGGTGTTGACAAAATGTAAGCAAAATGAAAATATTATTATGTTAGGAGACTTTAATGGAAGGGTTGGGGTGAAGAGGTCTGGTTATGAAAGGATATTGGGAACGTTAGGTGATGAAAGTATAAATGAGAATGGTGAAGACCTCCTCACCGTATGTGCGGAAAAGAATCTTTTTGTGACGAATACTTTTTTTCGTCATAAGAAGATTCACATGTATACATGGGAAAGAGGTGATGATAGAAGCATGATAGATTTCGTAATTGTGGATGAAAGAATGAGGAGCGCAGTCGTAGATACAAGGGTTTACCGGGGGTCCAACGTAGGGACGGATCATTACTTGGTCTTATGTCGAATTAATGGTCTTTTCAAGCGTTGGCGGCATCGGACATCTGTATCTACCACTGCGTTACAGCGTATAAGAATAGAGAAGTTACAAGATGAAGATGTGATAGAGAAGTATAAATGTAGACTGAGAGAAAATATTAGATGTTTGAATGAGTTGTGTATGAATGATTTAGACTTGAATACTGTGTGGGATAATATTAAGAAAGGTTTGGTGGATACCGCCACCGAAGTATGCGGTGTAAGTAAGAGAACAAATGAAAGGAAAAGTAACACGTTATGGTGGGATGATGAGGTACGGGTGGAAGTTGAATCAAAGAAGAAACATGGTTAGATTTACTAGCAACCAAAGCTGATAATTCTTCTGGTATGAATGATGAGATTGAAAGAAAAAAGGCAGAATTTAGACGTCTAAATAAGAGAGTAAAAGAAGTTGTTGAAAGAAAAAAGAAAGAAAGAACGGATAAGAATGATAGAAGGATATCTGATAATTTCCAGGCTAACATAAAAATGTTCTGGAAACTCGTAAGAACTGCCAGGGGAAATACAAAACAGCCTATAATAAATGCTATAAGAGACGAGAATGGATGTATTCTGAATGATGAAGTTTCGAATTTAAACAGATGGAAGAAATACTTTGAAAGCGTGTTTATGAGTGAAGAGTCGTATGAATTAAATGAACTAGAAATTCCGAAAGAAGTGGAAAGGGGTATGGAGATAAGTGTAGATGAAATAATGAAAGCAATGAAAAGCATGAAAGCAGGTAAGGCAGCTGGATATGATAGAGTATCACTCGAGATGCTAAGGGCTGGAGAGGGAGTGGTGGCAGGCCTGCTGTACACCTTGTTTAATTTATGTTGGGAATTAAAACGGGTACCGGATGACTGGTGTAAAGCAGTTATAGTACCAATATATAAAGGAAAAGGGTCACAGCAGGACTGCAAAAACTACCGCGGTATCAGCTTGCTTAGTATTGTGGGTAAACTGTATGCTAAGGTGTTAATTGAAAGAGTTATGAAAGAAACTGATGGAAAAATTTGGGATGTGCAAGCGGGTTTTAGAAAGGGAATGGGGTGTACAGATCAAGTCTTTTCCATGCGCATGATTGCGGAGAAGTTTTTGGCCAAAAACCAGAAAGTTTTTTGTGCGTTCATGGACTTGGAAAAGGCTTATGACAGAGTGGACAGGAATGTGTTATGGCAAACACTGAACTCATATGGGTTGAGCGCTGGTTTGATACAGGCATTAAGGTCTCTTTATAGGGACTCTAGTGCTTGTGTCAGGATCAATGGGGTCTACTCGGACTGGTTTGGCATCCAAAAAGGTGTCAGACAGGGCTGTGTGGCTTCCCCTTGGCTGTTCAACCTATTTATGGACCGGTGTTTGCAAACTTTGAAAGATGAAGAATGTGGGTTAAGAATGGGCGAGTTAACCGTCAAATGCCTTTTGTATGCCGATGATCAAGTCATACTTGCGTCATCGGCGGCAGAGTTGCAAATGATGGTTACATTAATGAACTGGGAATTAAAAGAAAGGGGAATGAAAGTGAACGCAAGTAAGACGAAAGTGATGGTTTTTGAAAGAGAAGAAAGCAAAACGGTATGTGAAATAAGAATAGAAGGAGAGTTGATTGAGCAAGTGGATGAGTTTGTGTATTTGGGATGTGTATTTAGCAGGGATGGTAGATATGATAGGGATATAGAACGACGAGTAAATGCAGGGAATAGAGTGAATGGGGCACTACACTCTATTATGAAGAACCAGAATTTGTCAAAACAGGCATGTATGGTAATTCATAATGCTGTGTTAGTCCCTACTTTAATGTATGGTAGTGAAAGCTGGGTGTGGCAGAAGAAGCACGAAAGTAAAATAAATGCTGTAGAAATGCGGTCTTTAAGGAATATGCTAGGGTGTAATCTGAATGACAGGGTGAGAAATTGCGTGATAAGAGATAAATGTGGTATGCAAGATGATGTTGTGACCAGGATTAAGAAAGGAATGCTTCGGTGGTTTGGTCACGTAGAAAGAATGAATGAGGAAAGAGTGACAAAGCAAATTTATATGGCAGATGTGAATGGCCGAGTCGGGAAGGGACGCCCTAGGAAAAAGTTTATCGACCAAATTGGCGATATTTTGAAAATGGGCCACGTTAGAAGTACCCTTAACCGACGAGCATGTATGCGTAGATATATGGATGTAAAGGAGGCGAAAGAGGTATGTCAGGATCGTGCCAAATGGAAGTCCGTAGTCTCTGCCTACCCCTCTGGGTGACAGGCGTGAGTGTTTATATTTCATATGAAATCGCGGGCATAGTGACAGCAAAAATGACGAAAAAAGAGAATCACATTTTGAAACGGTAGATGTTATGATATGTTAACGTTTGACGAATGGATTTTTAATATTAACGTCAAAAAATAAAGATTTTTACTAACTTTTTTTGTTTGTTATTAATTAACAAGCCGAAATTAAATGAAATCTTTATTTTTGATATCCCATCGCCATGACAACTGACATCGCATGACGATTTCACACAATAATTCTGCGACAACAACATAACAACAAAAGGGGGTTTACATAGGTATCACTAAAAGTTCTGCGCCCCAGACCGCTCATAAATATTTGAATTTCTAATGATGTTACATAGTAGAGCCGTACTACAGCTATATTAGTAGTATAGTTGTAGCACCAATGGGTCTTAATGATTGGTAATACCACCGAAAAATAGTAGGTTATCGCTGCTGTGTTTCGTATGGTGAGTGTAGAGAACTGGAGATCATTTTTAATAAAATTACACACATTATAC